TTATACACACACACACACACACACACACACACACACACACACACACACACACGCACAAGGATTTGTTTCTTTTGAAATTAAATTGTCCCATTGACATTTCAGCTTATTTGAATTTAACAGATGGGTGTTGACTTTCTGTCTGTAGACGGATGAGCCTGAGCATCATCTGCCTCTGATGAGTCAGGAGTATCAGAGAGCCATAATGTGAAATTCTGACGAGGCAGTGAACCTCTTTGATTGAAGTTATCCGAAATTCCTGTCCATGTCTTAAATTTGCATTAATATGATATGCATATTCCACATGTAACTTCGTGACTGAAGAAAAGTCACGACAGTTATCATACGCCCTTTTTATGTCGTTTTTACAGGAGCTGAAGGCACACATACTGCCTCTGACAAATGTTGCATTTGACAAATCGGGGTCAAGGTGATGTGCAAACTTCTGCCGCCTCATGAAAAGCTCCCGCGTTTGTTGCTCTCATCATCTCCGTTCACTCTGCAGGTTTCTAACTGGGAGCTATGACAGAACATGTCGTATTTGGGACACCGCCTCAGGCACTGAGCTGCACACACTGGAGGGTCACCGAAATGTGGTGTATGCCATCGCATTCAACAACCCCTTCGGGTACGAAGCTATTATAGCTGAGAGCAAGCATTATTATCAGTTTTTCAAATGGGTTTCCACATTGAAGTGCTATTGTGTCGATGCCATTTAGAGACAAGATTGCCACTGGTTCTTTTGATAAGACCTGCAAGCTGTGGTGTGCTGAGACGGGTAAATGCTTCTATACGTTTCGAGGCCATATGGCTGAAATAGTAAGTATAGTATTACGTTCTGGTCTAAATACAAAATGTGAGCAGTAATCGTTTGATGGGGGGGAGCAGAGTGGGGGGAGAAGCCACTGCACTGTAGCACTTTAGCACTTCTTTTGACGTTTTTTTTCATGGACCTCTGACACTGTTCTCTAATGCAAATGTCTGCCCAGTGTGTGTGTGTGTGTGTGTGTGTGTGTGTGTGTGTGTGTCACTTCTTTTATTGTATTTTTTAGCATTATATTTTATTCCATTTCATATATATTTTTTATTCTTTGAGTAGTTTTTACTCTCTCTTGAATTAACTTGCACTTTATACGTTGCTGCTGTGGTGCTGTGTTGTGCTGGAAAGCTAATTTCCCCGAAGGAACCCTCCCAAGGGATTATGAAAGTATAATTGATTGATTGATTGATATGCTGAGACAATGTCACAGATATTGTATAAATCTTACTTTTGTGTGTGTGTGTGTGTGTGTGTGTGTGTCACTTCTTTTATTGTATTTTTTAGCATTATATTTTATTCCATTTCATATATATTTTTTATTCTTTGAGTAGTTTTTACTCTCTCTTGAATTAACTTGCACTTTATACGTTGCTGCTGTGGTGCTGTGTTGTGCTGGAAAGCTAATTTCCCCGAAGGAACCCTCCCAAGGGATTATGAAAGTATAATTGATTGATTGATTGATATGCTGAGACAATGTCACAGATATTGTATAAATCTTACTTTGAAATGCATTTAATAAGACCAAATGCAGGTAACCCCCACTGTTTACACCTCAACTGATGCTGGCACTTTGATGAGACCGAACTCATGTTGTGTTACATTAAGTCCAAAATAAGAGAGTCTCTACTCAGTATTTTTTTTCCCCCAACTGAAATGTGAAAAAAAAAATGTGTGTTTTGTGTAGGTGTGTCTGGCATTCAACCCTCAGAGTACACATGTGGCCACAGGCAGCATGGATGCCACCGCCAAGCTATGGGACGTGGCGACTGGGTGGGAGGTGGCCACTCTCGCTGTGAGTCACCTTTTCTTTTTCCTCTTGCTGTCCTTGCGTTCGAGGCATTTATTACATCATTGCAATTCTAGCGGACAGCAATCATTTAAGCCGTTGTTTGAGATTTATAACAAGTGAAATAATCAACTTTGGGTCTTTAACATATCTACTGTATGACTAAAACTCTGTGTTTGATTGCATTCAAGGGTCATACCGCAGAGGTCCTCTCCTTGTGCTTTAACTCAGTCGGCAGTCAGCTTGTAACTGGCTCATTTGACCACACCGTTATTATTTGGGATGTTGCTTCAGGAAGGTCAGACATCCGTCCTTGTTGCGACACTGTAACGCACCATCGTATGCAAGAGCCCGCCGCCGTACCGCTGTCCCGTGACCGTTTCCTCTTGTAATCTAAGGCGTGTCTACACGTTGATGGGCCACCAGGCTGAGATCAGCAATGTGCAGTTTAACTGGGATTGCTCACTTATAGTCACAGGCTCCATGGATAAAACCGGCAAGGTGAGGAAACGGATATTCTGTTATTTACTGACTGTGTAAAAAAAGTACCAACAAAAAGGGATCGGGCAACAAGGCTGAAAATATGCGGTTTCGCATCGCAGTTTGTGACTCAAAATTCAGTGAATAGCAAATCTGAGAATCACAGAATGTTGTTTTTCTGACCCACGGAGACTGTCCCAAACAACTGCGCTGGACCGGACGCATGCACCATCAATCTGATATGTTATGTCTAATAACAGAATTTTCGCTGCTCACCTAGAATCACGATGCCCTCAAAGTGGCTTTAAATAAGAATGAACATATCTACCTGGGTTCCCAGATGGCAAGAAGTATTTTCCAAATCAAGTCTTTTTCACCATTTCACAAAGCTCTTGCCACTTGGTAAATATTGGTGCATATCCAGGACATTCTACTCTTCTTCGGTGTAGACCGGGCTTTGTCTCACTCCAGGAAGTGGTGGTAACTCTGACGAAAACTTGACTGTTGACCGCCAAAACTGTTAGGAAGTTCCGAGAACTTCCCTTTACGCAAAAAATATAAGTTCCAATCTATCAAATTACGATGCCGATAATATTAATATTTGTGAGCATGGATACCACCAAATCGGGGGAGTGCATAATACCCGAGTACTAAGGAAAATTGGCCTTTGGAAGGTAATTTTGGGGGATGCGTATAATACACAAGTGTGCAATGTGCATTATACTCGAGAATTTACAGTACCGGTAATGCAATGGAGGCACCTTACCATTCGAGCTCTACTTATGTCTTCATCTGACTGTTTAACACTGTTTATAGTGAATATATATTTGCACTGCAATTCTCTTTTTTTTCAGGTTTGGGATGCAAGCAATGGCAATTGTGTTGCCACGCTCGTTGGACACAAAGAGGAGGTGCTGGATGTGTGTTTTGATTTACGGGGTCAACTCATTGCGACAGCCTCTGCTGACGGTGAGACATTACTGTGTTGTGTTACACTGCATTGTTTTAGCAAACATCAATGAGATGCATTTACAGTCGTGGAGAAAAAAAAAATATTTGACCACCTGATTTTCTTCAATTCCTTGTTCATTTTAATGCCGTGTTCCATCTAAGATTTGGGAAAAAAATGGTGGTGTCACTTGGTGATGTAATTAGCTTTATTATGACATACGCGTCGAGGTGGTTACATCAGTTTCACAACACAATGCCTGCACATGGGCCATTTGTAAAGCTGAAGCCTAAAGTGTTGTTTCAAGAGAGTGTGCAAGGACTCAAAATAAAAATAAAGAATTGGGGACTGGAAAACAAGAACTTTTTTTTTTTGTTGTTTACTCACCAGTGGCATTGCATGCACACTGGTGGCAGTTGATCCTTGTTTTTTTTTGTTTGTTCGTTTGCTTTTTTAATGTATTATTTATTTATTTTTAGGGACAGCCAGAGTGTTCAGTGCAAGCACACACCAGTGTCTGACAACACTCGAAGGCCATGAGGGAGAGATCTCAAAGGTGAGAGTCGTGCATGCACATCACTGTTGACAGGGAGTCAGGAGATTTTTTTTTTCTTCTTTCTGGTCTTTATGCTTATAGTTGGTTTTGCTTAAAAAAAAAAAAAAAAAAAAAACGTTTCCTTTCATAAGAGCTTTCATCAGACTTCACTTTTTGGGCTGAAATTACAATAGTTGCCACAAAGAGGCGCTCAATCAAAACTAAACGCTGTGGAGAAACTTTGGCCTGTTTTCTTGAACACAAATCGATTGTTCTGTGGGAAGAATGGAAAAAGGTGAAATGAAATTGAGTGAAACGAGTTAATTTCCCATGGCGCGCACTTGATCTCTCACATTAGTGTGCCGCGGCACAAAGTTTGGGAATCACTGAAGTAGTGTGAGATCAAGGGAGTCTTCATATGTCACACTAACTCCACTGCGCCTCGCATGACAGGCAGTGATAATGACGGTATATTTGATCTTACCCATACCTGCACAGGAGCTGTTTGCTTTCTTTGAGTTTCTCTTTTTCCAATTTAGAACAAACGACAGACTTTTGGGGGTAGGGGAGATGATATTGACAAAATGAATAATGCACGGCTGGCTCGAACTAGAAATATTACATAAGGCCTCATAAAATATGGACAATCACACAATAAATATTTCATTATTCACCGCTTCTGTTTGGGACGCTAAGAGTAATTCTGACCAGGATTAAAGCTCTTGCAATTGTGTGACGTTTGTACTGAATCTTTGGCTGCAGCTCTCCTGGACTGTGCTCGAAAAAAATACCTTTATTTGTAAACGCGCTGATATTGAAATGGGATGACAAGAGGGCTGGTTTCAGGCCGCTGGATGCTCATGTGTGCAGTCGAGTTGTTCAGCAAGTCGGTATAATTCAAGAGTTTTTTTTTTTTTTTCAATAGTCCGTTGTGCTGCTTCTGCAGGAAAGACTTGAGGTCACACTCTTCGCTTTGTCTCTCTCCCGTCACATAATCAAGCGTAAAGGAAAGGTCAAATGCCTTTGTAGTGTTGCACATGAATGACCGCACAAAAGTGGTCTTGTGTACAATCGTGGATGTGTTGTGGACACAAGAAGGTCCCTCTGTTTATCCGTCAGCTATAAATAGACTGCTGGGGGATCAATCCAGAGGATTATGACTCTTATCTCTCTGTAACAGGACACCTTTCCTAACCCACCCCCCCCCCCATGCTTTTTAACTGTGACATTTTCCTCGTATTTATTTGACATCGTCCCCTTTGTCTGTCTGTGCACCTGCCCTTTTATTGATTTTTTTTCTCCTTTATGAAAATTGATGTCAACCAAGTGTTTTTTGGGTCTATATTACTGCTTTTTTTTTTTTTTTTGCATTCATTCCCGTCTTCTCCCTCTGGCCTTCTTAGGCGCATTCTTGACAGTTTCCATTTCCTGTGTGGGTTTGCTTCTCGGCGCTCTGTTTGTCCCTCATAAAACCACACTTTATTTTCATGCAGTAGCGCTATTTAATCACCTCTTCCGTCTTGTCCCCTCTGTGTAAGAAGAAAGTCATTCAGAGAACAATTCGCCCGTGTTCGAACACAAATGTCTTCGAGCGTGATTTTCAAAATGCTTTTAGTCGCGGGCCAATTTGGAGTTACATCTTCCCTCAGAGGGCCGTTATGGCAGTGAAACCGCAAAATTATTACTTATACACAACAAATTAATAGATTACTCGTTTTGAAATAAGTCAAGTCGATGAAAAAAGTTTGTTCAGTTATTGTTCAAGTGACGGTAAGCAGGGTAACAAAATGATTGCAAAATGTCAACGTTATTTATTACACATGACAATTTGACATTTCGGTACAGATTTAGCAACACGTGATTTGCTTTCGCGGGCCACATCAAATGACCCGGCGGGCTGGATTTGGCCCCCGGGCCTTGAGTTTGACACACGATTTAAAGTAAAACTCCTCCCATGGGCTAATGAAAGTATTCATTACTGTTCAACTCCTTTTGTCATTTTAACTACTTGGGCTTGAATATTTTATTCAGTAACCACTGAGTGACTGAATGACTACAGTATAGACCCGTCTCGTTAGATCTGCTTCAGTCCTCAGGGCAGCAGGGTTCTGACTGCCAGCTCAGACAAGACAGCGCGCTTGTGGGATGTCCAGTCCGGAGTCTGCCTTCAGGTCCTCGAGGGCCACACGGATGAGATCTTCTCCTGCGCCTTCAACTACGAAGGTGATACCATTATCACAGGTACAGCGCCCCCACAAATGTCCTACATTTGGCAAGCATGCACAAGGCCGATGTTGCCTTGAGCGAGAAATCAAGCGGTCCTTGCTAGCCTGTCACCAATTGTTAATTGCAAATGTTCCAGCTGTGCAGCCACCTGCTCGTGTTTGTGTTCGACTGCAGGCAGCAAGGATAACACGTGCCGAATCTGGTGCTGACCCTTCCTTGGGAAGCCAGTAGACGTCGTCATGTCACTCCCGCTCCCAATTGCGCATGCACGGTGCCGTGTAGACAGCTTCATTTGAGGATGAGCAGCTCAATGACATGCAATGTTGACAGTGTCTGCGTGACATTGAAATGTTAATGCAAGTGGTTGCCACTCATCTTCAGTCTTGGGATCATCCGGATGCAATTCTTGATGTCAATCCTCGGCTTGTTCTTTTGACATTTGTATTAGCATCAGGCAAAGAGGGATGGATTCCCCCCCCCATTCCTCTTGAGCTCAAGGTCATCTTGTTGTTTCCTCCCTACCATGCTAAGGGAGCCTAAGCTAGTTTCCTCCAAGATTTAGCTTTTACAGGCGGCGCACCGATATGAGACTTATGTGTGCGCTCAGGGAGACCATAAAGATGATTTGAAGTTTGTTTTGTGTCGTCTGAGAGGACAATCGCTGCCTCAAATTTGCAGTGTTACCGATTGCTGCTACATTTGGTATCTCTCCGTTTTGGAATGCACATTAAAAGTCTTACCATTGGAATGTGCTCATTAGAATCTGGGTATATTTGAGCAGATATATATGTAATTTTGTCTGCTTTGCTGTTACAGTATGTAAAGTGAGTTAGCATTTCCCACTGACAATCTCAGCTTCCACGTGCTAACTCAAAGGTCAAATGAGCTTAAAGTCTTGCAGTTTGGAGTTCAACCAAATATTTCTGCACACAAATGCCCACACAAAAAACTCGGAGATCAAGCCCTCATCGTGCCTAATAAGACCTGGAATTTAAAGACAGTGAGACTCAGTGAGCATCGAAAATTCTACCTTCACAAGTATTATTTGTTTGTTGTGTTTCCACTGCGGCAAAATTCTGATGATGGATAAGTGGGAAAAACATGAATGAAGACCGTAAAACTGGAAATGATTGCATTGTCATTTAATTTTGTCTTGGATGAGTCTTTTGCCGCGTAGCCGACCAGATCAATAGAGAAGGCGGTGTTACAGGTCATCGATTTACTTCACATCACAGGAATCTTTATTAATGTCAAGAAATAAATATTCACTTGTGACACTTTACAGCTGAATTGTGTGCTTCTGTTAACACAAGAGTACCACAATAGCGAAATAAACACACACAGTTCACTTACAAATTCAACATTACGAACCTTACGTGCTCGTCCTGACCATCAATGCTAAAGAGTCCACTCATCCGAGGTTGCTGCAGGTCCAAATGGTCACTATATACAAGACAACAATCTAAGATCTGTTCTCAAATAACGCTTACTAGATCCCAAGACAAGCCTTTAAGATCACAACGAGGACATTTTTGTTGGCAATGAAAAACAAACAAATAGGCTTTGACTTTGATTTAAAGGAATGCGTAGCAAGCCTTTAAGATCACAACGAGGACATTTTTGTTGCCGAATGAAAAACAAACAAATAGGCATTGACTTTGATTTAAAGGAATGCGTAGCGTGTGCTAATGTAAACAGCCATGTCTTTCAAACCAGCAAGGAAGGTAGTGAAAAGCAGGAAAAGTGCACCTGATATCCTATGTATTAGTACTTTTACCAATAAATAAATGAACCAACCCATTTTTTGGTTGTGAGAATCTATAAATATACTCTTAATTACCGTGTCTATCAATATACACCGGAGCAGTTAAAACCTGCTAACTAACGATAATCTCTTAATGGCTTGTGCACTCAAAATAGGAATGTCCAACCCGTGTTCCTTTGGGGTGTATGTGAGAAGTGACAGACAGAAAACAAAACCCCCACGGACAGAGTGTGACAGCAGTGAAGGAAAGAGCATTCGTCAAGTTGGCTGATCACTTTGTGCTCTCAGCTTTGGACGCAAACACACTTGGTGAGAAGACAAGTGTCAGTGTGAGGGAGTGAGCATGCAAGCTTTTATGCAGGCTGTTGAAAGAAATCCACTTCACAGGATCTCTAAGAGCCAGTCAAACAGGCTAGACAGAGACATGTCCTCACTCTCCTCATGAAGTTTACAGAACCGAACCACAGCATCGAACAAGTCCGCGATCTTCCATGACTTCTGGGACATCAGATGGACCACCTTCTGAAACTGAGAGAACAGATGCACCAAAGTCAAATGTACGCTAACAAACGCTTTCTTGAGCGGACAAGCACCTTGGCAGCCCGTTTTTCTTTGGACTTCTTGAAGTAGAGCGCTTGAAGGCCCAGCTCGGAAGCGGCAATCCACTCCAGAGCCAAAGTCACTTCCGAGTTCATGCAGTCCGCTTCCAGGTCGCAGTTTATCACAAGGAGCTCCCGAACATGACAGCCACCCCCGCCTGCTTTCCTGGCTGAGCTGCTCTCTGAAATGTCAGTCATAAATTAGTCATCACAACTCCCTCGTAGGACCCTCACGATACACACTATGATTTATTTATCATATTTACCGTAGGTTTCAGAGTTACAAAATGAGGTAAAGGCAATACACAGTCAATGGATTGGATTGGAGGGTTTAATCCCAGAAAGCAAACACGATCTATCCTGTTCACTCTCTACACTTCGGACTTCAGCTACGTCACTCCAACCTGCCACCTTCAGAAGTTCTCTGATGACTCCGCGATCGTCTGCCTCATTACGGACGGAGACGATCGGGAATACAGGGGACTGACGGAGGACTTTGTGGACTAGTACCTGCAGATCAACCCCAGGGAAACTAAGGAGCTGGTTGTGGATATCTGCAGGAAACAGTATTTACCTGAACCAGTGAACATTCAGGGTATGGACATAGAGAGGGTGACCTCCTACAAGTACCTGGGTGTTCTTCTCAACAATAAACTAGACTGGTCTAACAACACGGATGGTCTGATCACGAAGGGGCATAGCCAGCTGGCTCTTTCTGCTCAGAAAACTGAGGTCTTTTGGAGTTCAGGGGTCATTCCTAAGACCTTCTATGACTCTGTGGTGGCCTCAGCCATTCATTATGGCATAGTCTGCTGGTCAGGCAGCATCTCAGCTCGGCACAGAGAGAGACTGGTCAGAAGGGCCAGTTCTGTCCTGGGCTGTAATCAACCCCAGGGAAACTAAGGAGCTGGTTGTGGATATCTGCAGGAAACAGTATTTACCTGAACCAGTGAACATTCAGGGTATGGACATAGAGAGGGTGACCTCCTACAAGTACCTGGGTGTTCTTCTCAACAATAAACTAGACTGGTCTAACAACACGGATGGTCTGATCACGAAGGGGCATAGCCAGCTGGCTCTTTCTGCTCAGAAAACTGAGGTCTTTTGGAGTTCAGGGGTCATTCCTAAGACCTTCTATGACTCTGTGGTGGCCTCAGCCATTCATTATGGCATAGTCTGCTGGTCAGGCAGCATCTCAGCTCGGCACAGAGAGAGCCTGGTCAGGAGGGCCAGTTCTGTCCTGGGCTGTACCCTCGACACTCTGGAGGAGGCGGGCAACAGGAGGATGCTAGCTAAGCTAACAGCTATGATGGACAGACCCTCCCACCCCCTCTAGGCCACCCTGACAGCACTGGGTAGCTCCTTCAGCCAGAGACTGATACACCCGCGCTGCAAGAAGGACAGGTATCGCCGCTCGTTCCTGCCGAATAAAGGTACACTTATTCTTATCTGACCTTGTTTTATCTTATTCTAGCTGCAATCTAGCCTCCAGTCACTGCTGTTTTTAGCAACAAAGCGTATACAGTATTAGATGTTTACAGCATCAGGTTCACACTTACCAAAATAGCAGTCTTTGGTTGCTGAGCGGTCACCTTTCCCTGACCCTGCACTGTGAACACAAAATGAACCAGCCTAAACAAAGTCATCTTAGTTGAAGAAGTCTTCCAGTTAATTACAATCAGCAGCAGTTAGAGAAATTGTAAAGCCAAAGATGCATCGCTGAACTAGCTCTCCCACATCCATGCGCACCCAAAGTTCGGAAGCGCGCCCCAGATGCAATGGAGAGCTCAATGCAAGTACTGTATTTCGTGTTAGTGGAGCGCCAGGCGTGTATGTATCCACACACTTCTGCGAGTCACAGGCAGAAGGGTTACATGGTCACACTTACAACTCCTAAAAACAAACAAAAAAAAAATCCCAGAATGAATAGGTGTACAGTACAAATATTTGAGTATGGAAAAGCCCTCAAAAGGGTGATTTATTTGGCCCAAGACTAAAAGTGATTAAGCAATATCAAAAGAGCCTTTCAAGTGGGCCAAGTTATGCCTAGTGTATCAGACATTGCTTTTCCAAAGCACAATTTTCATTTTGAACTTCTTGAAGGACTAATGAACAATGACAGGAATACTGTGGTTCCTCCCTCGGAGGGGTTACGTTCCAAAAAGCCGTGGTAGGTGAAATCTGCCAATTTTTTTTTTTTTACAATTACCGGTATTATACAATGTTTTAAGGCTGTAAACCTCACCATTAACATTTTCTCACATTTCTTGTATAAACAGGCTAAAAATTCAAACCTTTGCAAGAAAGGTAAGTGTACAGTATTACCGTATTTTCTGCACTATAAGGCGCACCTGAAAGCATTCCATTTTCTCAAAAGCCGACAGTGCGCCTTATAATCCCATGCGTCCTCTATATGGATCAATATTATGATTTCTTGGAAAAGTGACATTTACCTTATTTCTGTGCTATGAGATGGCACATCAGAGAAGGTCTCGAGATCGGCCATGCCGACGCTTGAGTCGCTGCTGGTCGCATTCCTGTAAACCATTGTTAAGGAAACAAAAGGACAACATTTATCTTATTTTCACGCATCCTGCCTAATCACTGAGGACAATACGCAGTTGGTCATACTGCCAGTTAGGGGGAGATTTCCATGCATACAGCAGTTGCAGCAGATTCTAACACTGATGGTTGGAGAGCTGGTGGTAGTGGAATCATGGCAAGCCTGTCTGAAAATGAGATTTGGAGATAGTTGGAGTTGAATTGATGGACGAGCTGGGCTGGTAACCATGCCATCGCGTCACATGGTTTGGGGATGAAGTGTTAAATTAAAACTGCTGATGGAGAAGTTGAACAGAGCAGCGTGTGGTATGACCTCGTGCTTCACAATTAAGTCAACGTCACAAGAACTTTTTCTCATGGAACACACAAGGCCAAGAACGATTAGTGATTGGCCATCAGGAAAGAGGCGATTGGTTTGAGAAGTCAAACGTTCTCCAATCACGAAAGCTGAACATTGTTGAAGGTGGGTCACACCTTGTACACTTTGTGGAGCTCGCTGTCCTAGCAAGGTGGCATGAAATCAGCAGCAGCATAAAGCAAGGGAGTAAATTTAGGATTTGCACAAGGGAGCACAGGAGTCAGCAGCGATGGGCCAATGACAGTGAGGTGACAGTGGGAGCAGCAGCCTTATTCGCATTTATCGGGAAACAGCAATTACTGACCCCTCACTCAGCTGGATAAAACTACTGGTCTCATCGGGGGGCTCATCCTCCGTGTTTATGTGGGACCAGCTTCCCATGCTCTCTTCACTGCTGGCGCTCATTGAACGCTTGTCCCGCTTCACTACTTTCGCCACAACCACACCTGACCTGTCCCTTTCGCTGCTGGGAGAGCAAAATTGATCACGGATTAAAGTACCTTAGTGTCCTGAGGTCTTCTCGGTGTGCAGTACACAATAAGGTAGCTAATTCGTCAGCATATTCAACGTATCAACCAACTCCTTGTGTCCAAGGATATTTTCAGTGTTTTTTTTTTTTTTTTAACAAACTGATCAAATGAAGTCATAATCAAATGATTGAGGACTGTCAACCTGAAGAATACAGGAGAGAAATAAACATTTATTGTCTTTTTGCCACCCGTACCTTAGGGACAGAGACGAACACAGATTGCATGTCTTGTAAAACAAACAGGAGCATCTCTCCACCCTTATTCATTATTCATCATATTAGTTTAAGGATTAGCATACCATTAAAATGTCAAAATATCTCAACCAATGCCCTCTCTATACACAGCGCAAAAGCCACTGTTAGTTAGTGTTGTGTTTAGCAATGCAGTAATGACCAAAGTGGGGTTTCAGAGATAAATTAGGGGTAACATTTGACAAGCTCAACTGATAATAGCGACCAGTTAGTTCCTGGTTCATCGAAGGTGATTGTGAAATCAAATTTCTGTATCCTCACTAAAATATGGCATTTGGCCTATACGTAATAGCTCTATAAGCTTTTGTGGAAATTGGTAATTGTATTCTGCATCTGTTCGAGTTAATGTAAAGTTCGCACAATAGGCCCGACTTTTTCCCCCTCAGTTTTAACCACTGATGCAGTTTTTTTTTTTTTTTTTTTACAGTATTCCCTATCCCAGGAGAATTCCGTTCTCATGTAGCATACTTAGGTCAGGCGTGATAAATTCATGTTTGTGGTTTCTCACAGGAGGCGTTAACTGTGTAATTGTTTTCACATCATAACATAAACAACAAATTGATGTATAACAAATTTTGATATAAGAAGTCCAGCAAAATAGTTTGTTCAAGTTGAAATTATAATAGGGTTGGGAACAGAAAAAAAAATGCTCGTAATATCTCAAAGCAAACTCCCCTTCTCTCTGGTCTGGGGAGTTTGCCAACTATTGATTTATTCTTGAAATCATCAATCAACTCGTCATATTATTGCCATTGTCGGCCTTATGTGTGTACACTAGAGGGGAAAGCAAAGTGTGCTTTATGTGTCCATCCATTCATCCATGCAGTTTATAAACCAGTGCACTCAGTCAAAATGTGCCAAAAAACTATTGTTGGCCCAACATTTTAGCACAGAACAGTACAGAGTTTTGTTTTCTGCTCCTAAATATATTCATTAGCATCTCGTTTCAGGTTCATTTGATATTGAGATGCACAAAGTACAGTGATATCCTTCATTAACTGCAAAACATTAAAATGCAGTTAAAACATCTGTCTATGCCCCATTACCTCTTAGGGAAGCCATTTGGGAATACAGGATTTTTTTTTCCCGAACCATAGCTGTCCTTGCCTTTCAAAAGACGAAAGGAATTACATTGCCTTATTACTAGAGCTCAGACTCGCACTCTAAAGCCTGGTTTGTTAGTTGCGTTGACAGTTAAGAATGACTTTCAAATGGAATCGAGTCATGCCACTTTTCCGAAACAAAACAAGTCATTGTCCAATAAATAAAATCCAATTGGGTAAAATTGCTAAATGAAAAGCATGTTAACTAGAGTATGCGATACCCAAAGCAATTTACAAAGTCTCACATTAAGTTACAGTTGAAAACGTAACAATTGAATCAGAAAGTACAGATTTGGAGGTGGCAGACACTAGCCTACAGCCGCTTCTAATCCCTACTAGTTTAAAATGTACTTTAACCAGGATCCCACATCACGTAGTAGCCAAAGGAAGAATCTGGGTCAGTTATTGCGCCTGTTGGTGTTGTAAATAATAAATCCTCCATGTCATGGACCAGCTGCATCCCAGAGCTACGCTAGCTAACTGGGGAGACAGTCTCTCTTGGGCTGAAATTGGCTATTGCCCTTCATTTGTTGCCATGCGAGAAGGTGTGAGAGGGAGGAGGGGAGCAAACCAACAACAAAGGCACTGATACATTGCTGAGATTAGCTTCATTGACCTTACTGCTGAAGAGTTCATTTAATACTCATGATCTGGCAAACTATTCCCATAGACACATATATACTTCTGGGTGTATCGCCCTCGGGGGGCCTGCCTTCCTTCACACAATGCATGCACATGCTTTTTGTACATACGTCACATATATACATACGACTACACTCGGCTGAAAGGTCAGTCTCCTCGCTAGAGCTCTGGGTGTCCCGAATTTTGCAAAGTCCATCCATTCATCCATTTTCTGCACTGCATATCCTCACTAGGTTCGCTCGCGTGCGAGCTGGAGTTTTCAAAATCCAATTTAGAAATTTCACCAGGCCGACCTCCAGGGATTTTGCCATAGATGCATATCTGGAATTGACGCCCTCAAACAGGCCACTCGCACCGCATTTCATGTAAATTTCTTTTTCTTTTATAATGTCAGGTTTTTTTTACACTAAAGGTTTCGGCACTGATACATTGCTGAGATTAGCTTCATTGACCGTACCGCTGAACAGTTCATTTAATACTCATGATCTGGAAAACTATTCCCATAGACACATATACACTTCTGGGTGTATCGCCCTAGGGGACCCCGCCTTCCTTCACACAATGTATGCACATCCTCGTTGTACCTACGTCACATACTGTATATACATACGACTACACTCGGCTGAAAGGTCAGTCTCCTTGCTAGAGATCTGGGTGTCCTGAATTTTGCAAAAATCCATCCATTCATCCATTTTCTGCACTGCATATCCTCACTAGGTTCGCTCGCGTGCGAGCTGGATTTTTCAAAGTCCAATTTAGAAATTTCACCAGGCCTACTTCCAGGGCTTGTCGCACAGAAGCATCTTCGAAATTGACGCCCTCAAACAGGCCACTCGCACCACATTTCATGTAAATTTCTTATTCTTTTATACAGTTTTATTTTTTACACTAAAGGTTTAATCTCAGTACCTTTTACCGTTGGCTTTAATCCTCTCTGTACACTTGGTACCTGGCACCTCTGGTGGTCGTTCTGGATGTCCATCTCTCCTTTCTTGGGTATCCCCCTCAATGTGGATCACTGGCACATCCCTCGGGGCTCTTAAACGGGGTGTACTGCTGTCACCTGGCCCTGGTATAAACCCTGTTTGTTCTTGACTTGATCTACCCCAACTACAGTTAAAATGGGATTGTTTGAATCCCCTCCTTCTCTCACCAACAGGCATGTGTAAGTGTGGCCCATTTGTGCTTCCAGGAACCTCTCGCTGATCTCCAGCAGATGATTTGCCAATATCTACAATATCAGCTGCCAGGCGGTTAGCAAATTGCTCTATGTGTGGCTGAGGGTCTGCTGCAGCCTCCAGGTCGATACTGTCCTCTGGATCAACAATGATCTTGTTCTTCCGCATCAATGACTCAATAGAACTGGACCAGGTATCGTGGATCAGCATGTCAGTGATCTGGTCAGTCTTGCCTCTTTGATAGAGACATGAGTCTGATTTGCACAGTCCTGTTGCTGCCACTGAGTTGCGGGGGTAGATATTCAGGGTATCTCCATGAACATTTTGGGCAAACCCATCAAATGAATTGGCTTTAATGGGTGAGTTAACGGTCAGTCTTGAATCTGAGGAACGCCTGTCTGGGACTGATGACTGTCGTATGCAAAAGGGACTCCGGGGGGATGGCGGGAACAAGCTATTGCTCCACTCTTTAGTCTTGGCAATGCCGTGCTCTTTGTTTTCCTTGTCCATGTCCCGGAGCATAAACCTGTAGAACTCCTCTGTGATGCTCTCAGTGCTGGATTGTTTGGACAGGCAGGATGTCGTCCTGACATTAAGGTGACCATTTTTCTTGGATGCAGCCTGTTGCACAGCTGCCGCCAGGATGCTGCTGGCATTTTTCCCTGCGTAGTAGTCCAGAAGAAGGTCAAAGCCTCTGCCCTCAGTCTCCATCTGGTTGACCATGAACCGTGAAAATTCATCTGTGATACTCTCACAACTTGACTGCTTGGAAATAGAGCTACCGCGACTCAGGTTCTGGCCTAAACGACTACCGGGGCCTAGGGTATTTGGTGTACCCGAGGGGTCTCCGTCTTCCTCTGGAATGCTTTCATAACTCGAGGCCTTCCCACGGCTCCACCTCTCACACTGCAATCTGCTACGTGGCTGGCTTGTTTTGGATGTGTCCACCACATTAAGCTCAGGGCAGTTCATGATCCTGGCTGTGACTTCCGAGGCAAATAGGGCAAATGGGTCCTGCGATTCATCAAGGTTGACCGACTCATCAACCACGCGGTTCACCAGGCGCTCCATCAACTCTGGCTGCTCCTCTGTTTTCTTTTTAATCTCACTGAGGCGTGGTGCTCGATGTTTCTTGGAGGTGACATTGTTGCTCTGACTCTCTTTCCTTCTGAATACTGTTCGGCAAGCCGGGATAAAGAAAGCCTCTGGGCCCTCCGCTGATGTCCCTTTGAGGGCACAGAACCAGGGTTGCTTCCCGGTTGAATTTTCAAGATATATAGCAGCTAGTTCTGTGGCCATAGACACCACTGTAGCAGCCAAATCATCAGCATAGCAGGTAATGGGTGTCCTGCTCTCTGAGTCCATTCTCCAAGACAAAAGTGAACTGCAAGAGTTGAGTGAAGACTGTGGGGTGAGAGAAGACTGTCTGCTGTCATTTGCTGTCGCAAATCGGCCCCGCCTCTCTGTGCCATGAACTGGGATGTCACTCAAAGGGACTCTGACAGCAGTTGTATCATGGTGGCCACACCAGTCTTTTGTATGTAGGGCAGACTTCAACTGACTTTGTGCACAGCATGAGTGCTGTGGTTGCTCTTTGCTGTAAGTCGTAAAGAGAGATGTATTGACATCGCTTTCTTCAAGCGCATTTGTGCTAATTCCAGGAACCATGGTAAGACTATCTGTGCTTTGACGCATTCCACTGTGTTTTTCAGTGTTAGCGGATTGCCTGAAACTTGCTAAACCCTGTAACTGACTTAATGAGTCATTATTTCCCTTTGTGGGAACACACTGCTTGGAACAAGTACCAAGGTCCTGTGTCTCAAATGTCCCTTTATCACTTCTTGAAATGTGACTAATCTTTTTTTGTGCCTGGCAAAGAATCTCAAACAGCAAATTGTTTACACTGTCTTGCAGAAGAACCTGGAGGTGTGGTGCATCTTTCCCAGTCCCCTCCAATTCTTTTTTCCTTTTGGCTTTTTCTAAAGCATGCTTAAAAAGACTGTCGGCCATCTCATTGATTAATTCACTCACCTCACTTTCTTCAGTACACGATTTTTTCGGGCAAGTAATGCCATCAACTATCTTGTTATGTGTGGACTCCAAGAGGTCAGCTACACTCCGGTAGCCATGTGGATCTGTCAGCACCCCGGCTGCTTCCCTATGAAAGACTTCAGCGATGTTTGCACGGAATGCGTCAACACTGGTACCTTCTGCAACACTACAATGTAATGTGAAGGCTGCAGATGTTTGGGCAGCAGATATTAAACCCTGTGATGTTGTGTAGACTGCACTTAAATCTCTATCATTATTGCCACCCTCCCCTGATGCGTCCGTAAGCTCCAATGCTGCAACAGCACCAGCAACCTGAGCCATACTACAGATGGCTGAGGAGAAGGAGTAGTCGCTTTTCTCCTCCGGTTTCTCGAGCTCCGCTTCTGTGTCTTCTTCTGAAGTAGAATCCTGGGTGAGATGTCTCGCTAGCTGTGGGGATGTTATGGTGCCAATAACATTGGCAGCACAGGCCAAAGCCACCTCTACAGGTTTAGATGGAAGTCCTCCATTATGGTGAGGAATCTGGGCTTTCTTTTCTGGCATCTCAATGTCTTTGGTGGTAATATCCTGAACGGACACATTTGTCACCTGAGTCTCTGGCCACTCTGCATTTCCATCTGCACTGTCTGGGCTTTGAACTATGACAATTTTGGGGAGTTCAAAGGAGCAGGTCTGCAGTTGGGAAGGCTGTTTTCTTGGTGAGAGTGCTGTGATGGGGTGACATTGAGGATGTGGCACACTGACTGCAGCCTCAGAGATAAATGAGGTTTCATCTTGAGAAAGTCGTATGAAGGCATCTTGCAGGACTGACTCTGCCAGATTGGTGGCGTAGTAACCAGCTGATTCCTTTGTGTGCCGGCTGACCCGCTGATGTGCTTCTGTTTTCAAATCTGCACCCTCCCTTTTCTGATGATGAGCCAGCTGTCCCCTCTGACCCGTGACACCAGCATTGTTTTTCTGCGCAACCTCTACCAAGCTCTCTGTCTGTTCGCCAACCTCTGCCTCTGTTGAGAGAAAGAAAGAGTGGTAGAATCGTGAAAGGCCAGCAGATGTCCAATATCACATTAGATTAAGTGAGGTTGGACTTCAGTATGTTCAATATCTCTTATTCTAGTTGGGAGTCCTCAGTGGTGTAGAACGGTAAAAAAGTCTGGTCTCAGTGCTGGATTGTTTGGACAGGCAGGATGTCGTCCTGACATTAAGGTGACCATTTTTCTTGGATGCAGGCTGGTGCACAGCTGCCGCCAGGATGCTGCTGGCATTTTTCCCTGCGTAGTAGTCCAGAAGAAGGTCAAAGCCTCTGCCCTCAGTCTCCATCTGGTTGACCATGAACCGTGAAAATTCATCTGTGATACTCTCACAACTTGACTGCTTGGAAATAGAGCTACCGCGACTCAGGTTCTGGCCTAAACGACTACCGGGGCCTAGGGTATTTGGTGTACCCGAGGGGTCTCCGTCTTCCTCTGGAATGCTTTCATAACTCGAGGCCTTCCCACGGCTCCACCTCTCACACTGCAATCTGCTACGTGGCTGGCTTGTTTTGGATGTGTCCACCACATTAAGCTCAGGGCAGTTCATGATCCTGGCTGTGACTTCCGAGGCAAATAGGGCAAATGGGTCCTGCGATTCATCAAGGTTGACCGACTCATCAACCACGCGGTTCACCAGGCGCTCCATCAACTCTGGCTGCTCCTCTGTTTTCTTTTTAATCTCACTGAGGCGTGGTGCTCGATGTTTCTTGGAGGTGACATTGTTGCTCTGACTCTCTTTCCTTCTGAATACTGTTCGGCAAGCCGGGATAAAGAAAGCCTCTGGGCCCTCCGCTGATGTCCCTTTGAGGGCACAGAACCAGGGTTGCTTCCCGGTTGAATTTTCAAGATATATAGCAGCTAGTTCTGTGGCCATAGACACCACTGTAGCAGCCAAATCATCAGCATAGCAGGTAATGGGTGTCCTGCTCTCTGAGTCCATTCTCCAAGACAAAAGTGAACTGCAAGAGTTGAGTGAAGACTGTGGGGTGAGAGAAGACTGTCTGCTGTCATTTGCTGTCGCAAATCGGCCCCGCCTCTCTGTGCCATGAACTGGGATGTCACTCACAGGGACTCTGACAGCAGTTGTATCATGGTGGCCACACCAGTCTTTTGTATGTAGGGCAGACTTCAACTGACTTTGTGCACAGCATGAGTGCTGTGGTTGCTCTTTGCTGTAAGTCGTAAAGAGAGATGTACTGACATCGCTTTCTTCAAGCGCATTTGTGCTAATTCCAGGAACCATGGTAAGACTATCTGTGCTTTGACGCATTCCACTGTGTTTTTCAGTGTTAGCGGATTGCCTGAAACTTGCTAAACCCTGTAACTGACTTAATGAGTCATTATTTCCCTTTGTGGGAACACACTGCTTGGAACAAGTACCAAGGTCCTGTGTCTCAAATGTCCCTTTATCACTTCTTGAAATGTGACTAATCTTTTTTTGTGCCTGGCAAAGAATCTCAAACAGCAAATTGTTTACACTGTCTTGCAAAAGAACCTGGAGGTGTGGTGCATCTTTCCCAGTCCCCTCCAATTCTTTTTTCCTTTTGGCTTTTTCTAAAGCATGCTTAAAAAGACTGTCGGCCATCTCATTGATTAATTCACTCACCTCACTTTCTTCAGTACACGATTTTTTCGGGCAAGTAATGCCATCAACTATCTTGTTATGTGTGGACTCCAAGAGGTCAGCTACACTCCGGTAGCCATGTGGATCTGTCAGCACCCCGGCTGCTTCCCTATGAAAGACTTCAGCGATGTTTGCACGGAATGCGTCAACACTGGTACCTTCTGCAACACTACAATGTAATGTGAAGGCTGCAGATGTTTGGGCAGCAGATATTAAACCCTGTGATGTTGTGTAGACTGCACTTAAATCTCTATCATTATTGCCACCCTCCCCTGATGCGTCCGTAAGCTCCAATGCTGCAACAGCACCAGCAACCTGAGCCATACTACAGATGGCTGAGGAGAAGGAGTAGTCGCTTTTCTCCTCCGGTTTCTCGAGCTCCGCTTCTGTGTCTTCTTCTGAAGTAGAATCCTGGGTGAGATGTCTCGCTAGCTGTGGGGATGTTATGGTGCCAATAACATTGGCAGCACAGGCCAAAGCCACCTCTACAGGTTTAGATGGAAGTCCTCCATTATGGTGAGGAATCTGGGCTTTCTTTTCTGGCATCTCAATGTCTTTGGTGGTAATATCCTGAACGGACACATTTGTCACCTGAGTCTCTGGCCACTCTGCATTTCCATCTGCACTGTCTGGGCTTTGAACTATGACAATTTTGGGGAGTTCAAAGGAGCAGGTCTGCAGTTGGGAAGGCTGTTTTCTTGGTGAGAGTGCTGTGATGGGGTGACATTGAGGATGTGGCACACTGACTGCAGCCTCAGAGATAAATGAGGTTTCATCTTGAGAAAGTCGTATGAAGGCATCTTGCAGGACTGACTCTGCCAGATTGGTGGCGTAGTAACCAGCTGATTCCTTTGTGTGCCGGCTGACCCGCTGATGTGCTTCTGTTTTCAAATCTGCACCCTCCCTTTTCTGATGATGAGCCAGCTGTCCCCTCTGACCCGTGACACCAGCATTGTTTTTCTGCGCAACCTCTACCAAGCTCTCTGTCTGTTCGCCAACCTCTGCCTCTGTTGAGAGAAAGAAAGAGTGGTAGAATCGTGAAAGGCCAGCAGATGTCCAATATCACATTAGATTAAGTGAGGTTGGACTTCAGTATGTTCAATATCTCTTATTCTAGTTGGGAGTCCTCAGTGGTGTAGAACGGTAAAAAAGTCTGGTCAGTTTATAACTATTAGTTTACAAATTGTAACTGTCAACAGATTTCATTTTCGAGACCTAGCACATACAGACAGAAACATTGTGTAATATGTAGTTTTAAAATTTTAAGTACAATATAATTTTTGAAATTTGATATTCTGAAATGTTCTTCTTAATATGAAGCTGGCTAACCATCCCCACCCAGTCCTCAAACAGGCCACGCTCAGCCTTTTAGCGCAGAGCAACTTCCCGGAGTCTTCACGGAGACTTCAGGGTTGTCTACCGCTGACGAAGCTTCTGTGAGAGAAGCGAAACGTCCTTTTTTGTTTTTTGTTTTTTGTTTTTACCCACAGGTACAGATGACGACTGACAGAACCCTTTCTACGATGGAACTTTCCTGTACAACTGAGAGCCTCCACAAGCGAAATATGAAGCTGGGTTTTCAAGTGAAAAATGGCCTGATTTTGGAATATGTCCAATGACACGATAGGAGAATACGGTTCATCTAAATATTTCTTCCCTGTCTTACCTATCATAAGTTGTCCTGTTCAGAAGGAAGTTATTTTATTTAAATAAGTGGCCAATGTGATCGAAACAAAACCACACAAGCAGAGAGGGATATTCGGTAGCACGTCTGTCTCACAGCGCAGTGGTTCTGGGTTCATATCTTGGCTGTGGAATTATGCGCATTCATATGTCTGAATATGAATGGCTGTCTATGTGTGCCATCAAATAGACCAGTCCAGGTTGTAGCCTGCCTCTCACCAAAAGTTATCTAGTTTTGGCTCCAGTTACCTTTGATGTGGACCAGTGGTAAAGAAAATGGATGGATGGAAGGCAAAAACACAGTAATGGTGTTAAAAAGAATGAAAACAGAGAACATATTTGAAATGACGTATTCCGTCAGAATTTACCATTTCTAAAACCGTCATCTTCACTGTCATCTCCCATGTGTTCTGAAGCCGTCAGGAAGTCTTCCTCTATGGATGAAACTGAACGATTGGTGTCATCATCAACCCGTTGTCTGATTTGCCCTTGATGAAGCTGTCCTTCTTGTCCCCACTGGAAACCTGCAAGGAACCTGTTGATCTCAAAGATAATGCTGCTTGGTTGGATGAAGCGCTTTTGTCCTGATCGCTGAAGAAGGCACACCCCCATTCTTCTCTGCTGCTGTTGAGGACCAGAATAAAAAATAAAATAAAAAAATACAATAAACACAACTGTCTGTGTCTTATGTGTTATATTATTTTGTTATTTTGACTTCAAGCTGGCGGCGCGAGAATGGCTGCCTTTACAGCAGCTCCGATATTTTATTCTTGTACTTCTTTTCATAACTTTGCTGCTTTGAATTGGGAATTTCTCTATTGTAAGACTATTAAAGGTTTTCTTATATTATCTTATCTTATCTTAATATATCATATAGTTCTACATTTTTTTTTATTCACACAAATGGTTATTTTTCTTTCCGGTAAAAATCTCTTATCTCGCTGACAGTGTCAGCTGCCACTTCACCTTCTTCAGACCTGTCACTGCTTCCTGCTGATCCGGTCGAGGAACCTTCAAAATAAGGCTCCCAGACTTGATCAAAGCCGTGCTTTAGACATGTCACACCAGGAAGCAGTGACAGCTCTGACAAAGGCTGAAGTGACAGCTGAATCTGTCAGTAAGTTCAGAGATTTTTCTCTTTACTAGAAAAAAAAAAACATTTGTCTGGGAAAAAAACAACTTTGAACCTATTTTTAAAAACCAAAAGGCATGATCAACACCACATGGCATGACACTACACTATATGTCCCGATGGAAATATGCAGAGTGTTTCACGCTTCGGTTCTTTCTCATCTCAATCTCAAACACTTGGAAGGCCACGAAAACACCCAGATTTACCTGAGAAGGAGCTGTTGGGTGTGTTTGGCAAGTGTCGGATCCTTCAAGGCCATTGAAGAAGAGGATCTCATTTTCTTTGGGCCGGTGAGCAGTTAGTAATTCAACAAGCTTTGGCAGGTCTGGAGACACTAGTGCCAGTTTCTGTGGAGAAGAGCATGCAAAATGGCTTCTCAGCATTACCAGCGCATCTTGAACACTGATTGCTCGCTACGGCCACCGGGAGCAGTTATCAAACCTTCACATTACCGTATATAAACAAATCGACCATTATAATGACCTTATATGGAAACCATGGATACACGTTATTTGGATCTAACATGTGGTGTTAATATGTTTGTTTGTTTTTTTTTTCCAAGGGGTGAATAGGAGAAAAAACAACGAGGTTTTTGCTCACCTTAATGCTTTCGTCATCTCGACAATCTGTTTTCTGAGGGTCCAATTTCACAAAACACATCTGGAAAGGACACATGGAGACAAGGTAAGAAACATTTTTATTTTTTTTGCATTGTTTGCTCATGCACATTTCAGCATTTGACCACCAGTTAATGCAACCCCTAGCACCACTGCTCTTTCTTTGGTATAGAAAATTCAGGGTTATACTTTTTTCACAATGTCACTTGAGTTAAAAAAAACAAAACAAAAGACAAGCTGTCATGGTTGACAAAAGGGCTGTGAGGCAGTGGTTCCTTCCTTCATTTCCTTCTCTCCCGTTCTGTCATCCGTTCTTCATCTTTTATTTCCTATCTCACCCACCTTCGTCTCTAGCTACAGCCTTAATGGTCTATGATGGAGTCCTCATGTCAGCATGGGGAGCCAGGGACTGTTCACAAGGCTGGCAGTTTCATTCTTCAGCACACAGCCACTGATCTAAGGTGGCATAGTCAAGTACTTGCATGGCTAAATGGATGAAGTGAAGCTCCAGTGGAGGAGGAATTGGATGGGAGGGGGCTCCCAGTTGAGCTCGGCTGCGCAACATGAATCAGTTGGGGGTGCGATGATTTTTGTGTCGCAGTCACGACATTTCTATATGTGTCTGACATCTAAGTGCAACCATTCGAGTCATCTTGCAGAGAAGTGAGTCATGGAGTCTTTCCAATGCAAAACACGCACAGGTGGAATCCTGCTCGCTCTCATTTACTTCAATCATCATCTGCACCACCTGCATCAACCACCTCCTCTCCTCCAGGCGTACCAAAATAGATACATAGTTCCGAATAATTACACCTTGCCACGTCGCCAGTTTGAAAGTCTGCTTTCAACTTTTTCACAACATATCCTGCCTCACAGCTGGGATGCTCAAATGTTTTTCAAAAATGTTTTTTCACTTCTATTAAGCGGTGCTTGACTCAACAAGAAAGCCAAATATGTTACTTGAGTCATGTGGTCTTATAAAAAAATGTTCACAGAGATCAATTATAAATGAAGAATAAACATGCAGGGCTGGGTGCTATGGCCTTCAAATAAAATTGCCTTATTTTTTTCAACATACCGGTATATCCAATTTAAATCAATTGTTCGCCATTTCACTGACAGAAAAAACAAATGTCTTTCAAAAATTGTGTTTTCCCACCTTTTGGAATTCTCTTAAGTTCTCCTTTTACTCCAAAAACTGAAACAGTTTTTCCATCCATCCGATCATTTTTTGATACCGCTTATCCTTATTAGGGTCGCGAATGTGCTCGAGCCAATCCCCGCAAGCTTTGGGTGAGAGGCGGGTTACGACCAGGAGGGGATGCCGGCCAATCGCAAGAAACATTTTTTTTTCCAGCATTCCCCACACCCCAGCTTGAACCTAGATCACAGGTTATCAAACTCCGGTCTTTGAGGGCCACTATCCTGCAAAGAATTTTTAAACCATTTACACATGTGCATATAAAATCGAAATTTCATCCCTGCCTACACCTTACAAACTAAGGAGAGTGCTATTAAATGTGTTAAGAATAAAATATTCACATGTCCTTGATAGCGTCTGATGTGTTGGGTCTGTCTCATTGACAGACTGAGGCTGCTGTTGTCTTCTTCTCTGATCAAAACAATGTTGTCTTTTCCTCTGATCAAAACAATGTCTCCCCCTAGCGGATACTCCACAAATTGCGCCTTATTAAAATATTCATTCCGTGTCTTTTATGCATTTTTTTCACTTTTAAATTATCCTGCGGGCCTGATCGAACCTCCTTGGGGGCCGGTTCCGGCCCGCGGGCCGTATGTTTGACACCACAGTTTTAGATGTTTCCCTCCTCCAACACACTTGATTCTAATAATCAGTTCATCAGCAAGCTGCGGAGAAGCCTGAGAATGATCCTGATCATTTGAATCAGATAACATGCAGGATAGCGGCCCTCGAGGAGTTTGATACCTGTGACCTACATCGACAACAACATAATTGAAAAATGTGTTCTTTCCTTTACAGTTGATGTCAAATTAATTTCTTCCTTCTCATGGAAAAAACACTCCTTAGGAAATGAACATGTTCAAGAATTTAACGTAAAAATAAAGCGCTGTCAGACTGCACGGCACTGGTGCATGTCTGTTGCTAAAGACGTGTACAGGAGGTGTGAGGCAACCAGCAACATACCCGAAGCTATTATATTAATGCAGAATGTAGGTAAAAGCAGCAGGAGCCTCTGCTGGCACAAGAAGGAGCATTATTTGGAGGGAAAGAGCAGATGGTGAGTGAGTGCAAAAAATAGACTTACTGTAAGGTGAAAGACAAAATGTTTTGGACATTCTCGCCGTAGCAAATCAATGCCGGCATAAACAGTGTCGGGTTGGATGTTCTCTCTAAGAACTAAACCAACCCTCCGCCCCCCCTAAAAAAAAGGGCATCAAGTGTCTCCTTTGTCTTTGTGTTCCTACTAGATCTGAGAGGGCCAGAGTTCAGTGCTGTAAAATGTTACACACCTTTTTCAACTCATCTCACTTGCTCAGCCAATGTGTAATATTTGCTCTCTAAATTAATGATGAAAGACCTGGCTTTCTGCCCGTTAGTGTCATACCATGAAAAATGTAAAGCAGTTATATTTAGGGAAATAATTTACATAATATAAACACTTTATTCTGCCTGTCATCACCTCATCACTTCACTTGAAGAGAACGAGGCTTAAATAATTCATGTTTGACTTTGTGGAGGAGGAGAGGAGGGGTATATTTGACCTCATCAAACAATGAGGGCCAGAGGCAGTTGATAAGAGGTGTCGAGGGAAACGCCCTGATTCTATCAGTTTGACACCAGACGTACCAGACAAGAACAAGAACATTTGGTGTCGGACATTCTCTGACTTAAGAAGTGACCATGTTTCTTGTGTATGCAGTTTTCATGGACAGAAATATTCCACAAGCCCGAGTAAAATCTTTATAACGTAAAACTGGCCTGACCAGAGTGCATGTCGTGCAGAAGAGCGGTGTCGTGAAAGTAAGGTGAGTGCCTGACAGTTTTGGTGATGTACCTTCATCCATGTTTCTTTGAAGCGGAACAGTTCAGGCTGGTTTCCTTCAGCGTGGTGGTATAGTGCTATGTGCTACTTGCATGAGCTCATAAACAGTGACAATCGGGTTGGGCGATAAATCACTATGTTATGGCGATAGACACACGATCGATACCAATGGAAAAAAAATTCTGGAAGAAAAAAACACGACACGGCATTCAAGGCGCATCACATTTCTCTTTCAGCCACGTGGCTTGTTCGTGTTTATAGAGGAAACAGAAGCTCGGAAGACAAGTGAGAGCAAACCCTCGGCCTCCCCAAATTGTCGCCTTTGCAATTTCAATATTCTCCCACATTGCGATGTCGATTTGATTTTGATTCATTGTTCAGCCCTAACTACTAACCCAACAAAAGGAGAGATGAAAAGTAATATGGTATGCGTCTGAAACGTTGGGACAATTCACAATGGAAACATTAAAAACAAAAGAAGAAGAAAAAAAATATCTTTCTGAAGTGAAGGGAAAGTCACTGCTTGGTAGAATCTGGGCCAGTGCTCAAGTAATTGAGCCAACTTTAAGCCTGAGTACAGCATGGAATTTTACACCCTGCACATGTGTGTATCGTATGTGTGTCGTAGACCGCAGCATTCGAGGAAAACAGACTGGTTCTAATTGTTCGAGCATATTTACACATAAATCCTATTTTGTGTCAAATCTTCAACAACATGCACAGTGACCAGCTGCCAGTTTCCTTTCATCACATGCCCACAAATAAATCTCATGTTCCCCTTACAATAATGTATGCACAGACTTGGTCAATACACAAAACCATTACTGAACATTTCAGTCTCATTTGACACTCGAAGATTTGTCCTGCTCTCTCTGTCTCTCTCTCTCTCATCCTCCCACACGCAGCTGTTGCCCTTCTTTCTGTCTCCCTCTTGCTTTTACTGTGACTCCTGTTTACTTTCAAATCAAATCAAACTCCAGTATTTACTGTGCACTCGTGACGAGCACGCTCTTCTTTTGCCAGCTCAAATATAAACCTATACACCATATTAAACCAGTACTGCAGGTATTGGCAGCTTGTGAAAACAATTATAAAAGATGAGAGCGTGACATCTGACGTTTTTTTTTTCCAAACAGACTTATTTATGGGCTCCAACAGTCACAGCCAATTTGCTTTGCTCTCTTCACCCTGCATTCGCTCGCTGCATTCTTAGTGCCCCAGATTTGCGTTAAAACGGCATACTCAATCAATATGAAGATCTTTTGATTTTTTTTTTTAATTGAAAAAAACATGGTGGCTTTGCAAAAAAAAAAATCCTCATTAGTACACATCATGATTTAACAGTCAGTGTAATAAACTGCCGATGATATGAACACACACACACACACACACACACGGATAAACATATTGACTCTTATTGGTGTCAGGTATTAATGGAAAACATGCACATTATAGTTGAGCATTTAATTTGAGTTGGATTGATTACCGTTCAATAACCAATTTTATTGTTGTTTATGTGCTATTCTTTATCGGTTTAAAAAAAAACAAACAAACAACCAAACATTAAAAATTAAGTAATATCACACAAGCGGGATTTATGTTCATGCTCATCAACCTCCTATAAACGGATTCAGTAACTGGCTCGGTCATTGTCAAGGTAAAAGCAGATGTTTGCAAAAGTCTTATATTGATGACACAATTTAAATGATGACCTGATTATTAAAACTAGTTGATAATCGATTAGTTGTCGATTAATCTTGACACCTTTGGGTGAGTTGTAGTAGTAGTCAGGTATGCACCCAAACAAATGACGCGAGCTGTGGCAAGAGCCGAAAGTCACAACAAAAGAGTCACGGGTCAATTGGTAATTCAACTCAACGCTATTTATGTCGCGCTTTAACAGCAGCCGTAGCTGTGAACAAATCATACTTCTTCCTATTTTAACACAGATGAATCTGTCTTTCCTACGCGCTACCATTTCGAGCATTAAATTGAATCGCATGTATGTGTCACCTTCTTC